GTCTCTGATTGCTGAGTTTGTACCTTCATCTCATGTTTGGTGTCATTAAACTGCCTGCAACTGCATCTATTTAACTATGGAAGCCTTCTTACAGAACCTTACCTCAAGTAATAATACAGCAGATGAAAAAGATCTCAAAGTGCCCTCTGATTGGAGACCCCCTTCTTGGAGAGCATCTTAATCATAATCTCGGAACACTAAAACTAAAACATCTGATTGGTTTTGATTATCATCTCTATCATTGGTCACGCTCTCACGACATTGCAGTTCTTCATCATCATGAAAGTTTATTATCTGCATGTGTTTAAAAGCCAAATCAGTCTAAACTTCTGATATATGGTTTTCTGAGTGCACACATCCGAAGCACACACACAGAAAGCTGGATGTCAGACGGCGCGTCCCGTGAGTATTAAACTAAGTTCTCTTTCATGACTTATTGCATATAATTTGCTGGAATACACTGTGACTTTTACCCTGATTAGTCTGGACGAGTTAACTCCAGTTGACGAAAGTTGGAGCCAGCCTGCAGATTTTGGCCAGTCAGGGTAGATTTCACAAAAGAATTGCGTAGTGTATGATGGGCATAAAAATGATGAGCTTCAGACTGTTCCATCCAGTTGGAGGATATCAAACATGTCTGATATTTTGAGTCAATTTTGGAACACATATCGTTGATGTGCCTTTCTATTCTCATGAAGAGTCACAATACGATGCGTCCCGTGAGTTTTAAACTAAGTTCTCTTTCATGTCTTATTGCACTTAAAATGTCAAATACACTCAAGGTTATGTCAAAAACACACAAAGTACACATAAACACAGTCGGTTATGTCTGTGAACGTAAACAGCAAGTAAAGAAATCGCATGTGTAGGCTATATTAGATATGTGTATTAAAATGAAAGCAGCGTAATATACAGTATTGCTATATATGCTGTTAATATGAATCAAACAACAAAAGAAAAACAGAAAATCACTCACTGCTCTTGATTGAATAACTTAGTAGCTTTAATAAGAATATGATACACATGGCAGACTGTGTATAGCTCACTTTATGCTAATAGGGCAGAGTCCGTCAGCAGTTGTGGGCGGGGCATAAGCATTTGTGACATCACATTGCATAGAGACTGGAAACAGCTTGTTCTGAGACAATGCTTATGATTTATGGGGATTAAAAATAGAGGAGGGGGTGAATTTTTATCATTATGGGTGGTTGTGTACACACACTACCGACACACATTAATGTTCAAACACCATGCAAAAGTGAATTTTGCATAATAGGCCTCCTTTAAGACATTTCCTGAATCTGGATACTGAACTTTCAGTATAAAGGAGAACACAGATTCTGTGCAAGAGATGACCAGTTTACTAATGACTAATGCAAATCCAAAAAGAAAACATTGGATTGTCTGTCAGGATTTTCATCATAACATCAGTTATTTCACAATTTGCTATCAGATGTCACTTATAAGGGAAAGTGTGAAAACATTAAGAGGAAAGTACTGAAATACAAAGCACACTGCCACACCTCCACAGTAACATTTTTGACAGAATTAATCCATTTGATCTAATCTGACAGCATTGAAGAGGGGTCTCACTCATAAGGGGGAAAACTCTTTTACTTAAAGACTGGAGTTCTTTAAGGTCGCATGCCTGGTGATGTTGTCAGCATGAGCCGATTTCACTATATCTTAGTGGTTGTAGTGATGTGGTGGTAAACCCTCCTTTTACTGTAAACACTTAACTGCACTTGTGTGTGTGCACGTGTGCTATAGTGGCATGTGTACAAGAAAGACATGACTCTTCACTCTTAGTGGTATCCGTTCTGAATAAAACCAACGAGTTGACAGCTCATGTGTGAACAACAGTTGGGGAGACCGATTAAGATAAAACTGAAAAGTGAATATATGCTTTGTAAAATAATCCACAAAAAACCCATTGAGGCAGATTTCAGACATAATGTACTTTACACTATAACCAGTCTTTGTCTTCATCTTTATTAATCTGAGCTCAGGATAAAATGATGAGCTTCATGGATTCTGTGTGATCGGACGTTATTTCACCATTGACCTCACTACTAATCTCAGTTCTCAGAATGAGTAGCTGAGTAGCTGTTGTAGTGCTAGCTTCTTCTTTTTTTACTCATGGTTTTAGTCAGAATGAGACACAGGACCCTTTTCATCTAGAGTGTTTTTTTGTGTGTAGGCCTATGTATTTGTTTCAAAGAGAGTGAGAAAGGAGAGAAAGAGAGAGTTTGTTTTGGAACTATTTGAAAGTTAAAACAAGACATGAAACATTTGATGGAAACTTTGGGGTAGGAAAAAGAGGCAGGAGAAATATTGACAGAGAGCCATCCTGCTTCAGTTGGGGGTCCTACGGCAAAGTCATCAATAACGTTTGCTGAAAGTTAGTTCATAGATGACTCATCTCGTGACATTCTGATAAAGATTTAATGCTGAAATGATGTCCCCTCATCATCAAAGTTTCAGAGGGGCCTGACTAACTCACATCTCTCGTCGTTTTCTCACCGACTCCTGGCTTGTACACAGTTTCAAGGTAAGACTTTACTCTTTCTCATTGCGAATATAAAAGGATTTAACAGGTATGGTAAAAAAAATTCAGCAAGCTAGGTAAAATGTACTAAATGAGGCACAAGCTATAATCTTATTGTAAGGGTACAAATGTTTATATCAATGTTAATTAAAAGTTCAAGTGAATATAAAATTAAAGCGTCAAACATAGGCTACACGCAACTGGGTCAAGCTGAATTTAGTAGGCCAAGTCAGTGAGGGCAGTCATCTATTCTGGTTTTTATTTTAAGAATGCTCAAAACTAAAAGATTTTTTGTATAATCATTGAGATTGTTGTATAATCTTATTCCATTCACTTATTCATACAAGGACGTTAGGCTACTAATATTGTTGGTTATAACAACATTTTATTTGTTATATTTAAAAAAATATATATACTTTACTTATCATCGCTGTCAGACGATGTATCTCCATATTTTTATTCATTAATTATCAGGTGTGTATGTTTGACTTGAAGCGGTGATGCACAGACCAATTGGTGAATTGACGTCAAGTACCGCGAGAGTGATTCGAAAGCATACGGAGCCGTCTGTTCTCTAATCACTCTCGCGGTACTTTGATGTCACGCTGCCAATCATCAGTCTGCGTGCGCAGCGCTGCTTCAAGTCAAACAAGTCACTCTTTATGTTGTCTGTGGGTTTTGCCTATATTTAACCAACGAAAAGTATTAAGTAGAGCTTGTGACTAAGGCTAATCTTGACTCAATTGGATCATCAAACTATAGGTAAATAGTCTATGGTAAAACCTCATAAACCCACAATGGTGAATGAAGTGCAGTATGCAGTTTGGACCGTCTCTTGTCTGCAATGGAAGGGTAAATAAACAACTGTTTGTTTGAATAAGTAGGCTACAGCGTTTTCTTTATTCAAGAAATGCCATATATATACAGACCAATGTTTTATGTTGGCGTATCTGAGGAGCGAAGAAGAGTGTCTAGCAGTCGTAGTGTCTTTAATACTCTGTCATAGCACTTCATCGTTTATAATATAACATACGCTTTTGACCAACTGATAGAAAAAACTGAGCGCCTACATAGCTACAGTAAATTTTATAACCTGTTGGTTGATGAAAACTTAATCCGATGCACTTGCTGCCTCAGATGTGGCCATTGTAATGATGGTCAGATTCTCAGAAATTTCCAGAAAAGCGCTGGTCAAAAACCTTGTAACTCAATTCGAGCTTGATTTTTGGTAAAAATGTTAATAATATAATGACACATGCATCATAAAGCCACAATATCAACGTAGTTTGTCGACGCTGTGTAATTATTTAAAAAAGACTGTTTCAATATGTGCAATGCAAAAAGTGTGTGTTGCATTTAGCATAAATTGCATTTAGCAAATTATATATACTGTAGTGTAGCCTATGTGTATTTATATGTATTTGGTCATAACTTAGTGCTAAAAGATCTAAAATAAATGATGAACTTAATATAAATGGGAAAAAAGTTATTTATCAATAATTAGTAGGCTACATTAAGCATTTAACAAGAAAGGCCATCTTTATCAGTCATTTACAGTCAAGTAATGCATTTATGATTTGTATGACTCTTTACATACGCTGCTAACACATTTAAAGTCATTCCAGATGTCATGTGTCATTCTGAACCTTCACAAATTCTTTTTTTCTCTTCCAGTAAGATGCTTGCCCTGCTCATTGTCCTCCTGCTCTCGTCACGTGTCCTTCCTCTCGTCCAATCACTGACGTGCGATGAAAGCACACAGTACTCAGAAGATGGTCAGTGCTGCAAAAAATGTGAACCAGGTAAATGAAATGCTGTCTCATCACTGTGAGTGCAATCATAAGACGGTTTGAGGAGAAATGAGCACAGTTAAGTCAGAGTTGAACTTAAGAGGAGTTAAAATGAGCTAAGCTATCATCAGTTAAGATTAGATAATTAATATGATAAATGGAGTTGAGTTTAGAGGGCTGTATTGAGTTAAACCAACATGTATGAACCAAATACGTGTGTAATAAAGCAGGAAAATCTAAAATAGGAATGTATAGGAATAATCTAATTTTAGAGACTAAATTGATAGCAGACTGTTCATGCAGACTTAATCAAGGCATATTTCAATTGAAAAAGACTGGATGTACTCTTTGAACATATCAAACCCGACTGTATTATGTAAGAGTATTTCAGGGTTCAGTTGATCTATGGTTTGATGACATTTACCTAACCTTAGAATGACACATCAGGTTTCTCGTATAAGGATGACTTGTTCTCTGAACTCAAACTGGTAAACTCTCAAACTAGTCAGTGTTGAATGCCACACTGTTATAATTTTGCCTGTACATCAGCAGAATCAGCGTGATTACATGTGTTTCCCTGTCTTTGTGTGTGTTTAAACAGGACATCATATGGTAAAGAGATGCACAATAAGCTCAAGAAATGATATGAGTATCATCTCACCTGATACTCAGTGTGAGACATGCGAAGATGCCTTCTACATGGACGTCTATAATGACAATTTTGATTGTCATCATTGCACGACGTGCACCAATGAACGTACGTCCACTCCATTTCTTTGTTTGTGATGTCACTTAACATGTTTTATGTTCATACAATGATTCGTTTGGCTGTGTTCTGAATCTTCAGATGAATCAGTAAACTAGAAATACCAAACATGACAGTAAAACAAGACAGGGGCTTCCCCTTCAGCAGATCTCTGGTGGGTTTTTAGTACAGAGGTAGGTGGGGGTCTGAGAAATGTCTGAGTGTCTGGTAACGAACTTGACATGGGACAGCAAATGTTAAAAATACACATGTAGCTACGGAAAAAAATGGCACCTGAGCGACGGAATTTATTATTTGGAACGGAAATAACTGCCTACTGAGATGTCTGAGATGTTTTGATATGCAAATGCCTTGCTAAATCACTGTGAAAAAATATATGATCAATAAGTTATGACAACATATGTTTTTACATTGCTTTACTCGTCAAAAAAGTTGACAATTGCTTAACTTATTTTGATAAGTTGTTCAAGATTCAAATCATTTTTTAAGTCAGTGTAATGTAATTTAAGTTGAAATGACTTAAACATCCAAGTTGATTGTACTTGAAAATTTAAGGCAGCAACTTTTTTTAATGTGTAGATTCAATTTGACGATTAAACAACAAGTAGAAACAAAATACCTTGTAAACAGGTAGTTGGAGAAAAAGGAGAGGAAGTGCAAGTAATGTTTAAAGTAACTGAACAGAAATATTGCTGATATGTTTGGGATCCTGCTAAAAAAGACAAGCATTTCCATTGACCAAATAGATAAACTATGTTAAACCAGCAACATCCCATGCTGGTGACCAACAATGCTGAAATGTTTTTAACGGTGGAAGGGAATTCTGTACAAATGTTGTTTACAATATGAATGACTGCTGAATCCTGTAAATTATGCAGAAAGTTTGCACATGATTCTGTGAAACCTGTGCCAAATGATTCTGCAGCTCAGATTGGAGAAGATGCTTAAGGTCACATAACCAGGCTAAGCCTTGTGACAAAAAAAAAAGATGAGTAGAAATGAAAAGTGAATATACTGAGGTGGATCGAGAAGTTAATTGTGAGTCAGCAGGAAAAAAAAACTGTGTTTGAGTTTGCTGTTTTATTTTGACACTTGTGTCTTGGTGAAATGACTGTGCTTTAGTAAGCAATCACATATGGGTCCAGGTGCTTTTATGTTTTTGGGGTTGGTTTGTACTCAAACTAAGAGATTTCAGCTTTTTCTTTTTGTTATATGATGGTCACATTGTTTTTGCATTTTTAAATCTACTTTTACATTTTTGTTTATGTTTTAAGGTCCATTCACACCAAGGTCTGTAACTATAAAGATAACGATAAAGATGTAATTCTAAAAATCATTCTCAATATTACAAGAATAGCAGAGTTCACACCACAGCTATAACGATAACGGCATTGTACGATATCGTTGGAATCACTTTCAGAAAGATTTCATCCAGCTGCTTAGTGATAACAACATTGGCAGCCAATCAGAATCAATCCTGCTATATCGAGCTTGAGCATTTCAAGTGACAGACAAGCACGCGCTTATAATAAACAAAACAATGTCGACCGATGGTGTGGACGCTATTATAGTAATCTTAATAGTTATCGTTCTTGGTGTGAAAACTCATTTTATAACCATTTACATAAATTATGAATGTTGTAGGAAACAGTTTTGCCCCTAATAAAGTTGGTGGACATACTGTAGGCTGCATACTGTAGTTACAGCTTTTTATAGTTTTACTATTTTCCAAGAACCTAAGTTTTAGAACAGCTACAAAAATGAACCATAAAAATAATATTAATTATTGCATTTATGCTATTATGATTCAAATAAAGAGAATAATCAACAAAATCGTTTTAATAGTTTTTGTGTACATTTATTAATATTCAGTTTAGAGCATCTTTGAGGGTAAATGTGATAAAACAAAGAAAGGTAAATTTGAATATTGATCATTTCCAATGAAACTCTGGTTGTGTAGAATTTTGCCATTTTTTAAATTCTGTATATAAATAAAAAAGATATGAAATTAGCATTCGTAAATTGGAACCGTTTTAAAATGTTATCCACCATTTACTCAACAAAAAGAATAGTGATTTGATATATGGTGGAAATTATATTTTTAATGAAAGTTCAGCGGAAAAAAATAATTTAATGAACTAGTGAGTGATTTAAGGAAGTACCACAGTTGAAGAAACACAGATGGACACATACAGTTCTGCATAACCCCTTTCACTGTTTTGATATCGCAGATATGAAGTATAAGAAGAACTGTACAACGACAAGAGACGCTGTGTGTACATGTGATGAGGGCTACAGATGCAGTGACAGCAACTGCGAGAACTGTGTGAAAGTCCAGACGTATACTCCGTCCCCTCGTCCTGCTTTTACTGCAACAGCACCGCACACCCAGAGTGAGTATCTGAACCCTGGCGCGCTGTTCTCAGCCTGTTATATTCATTTGATACCCATTTACGTAAATTTGGACTGTTGTGGTATTTCCAGCTGACAGACTGTCACACACACAGTTCTCTACTGACCTGTTTACTCTTTCTCTCTCCTTTTCTCCATTCATTTGCTCCCTTTCTATCAACCTCTTCCAGATAATGTGTGGATCTCGGTGAGTCTGTGTTTTGTGTGTGTGTGTGTGTGCGTTCTGTTCACCTGTTTCCTTCTTATCAGCAGACATGCACGGACATGTGGATGGATCATGTCAGCATCAACCGGTCAGTGCCACTATGATTCACAAACAAAACCGCTGAAGTGCTCTTTATACTCTTGCATGACTTCTTGATACACTGACATTCCAATGCATGAACAGTATGTTAGTGTAAGGGCGTTTTCAGACCTGTAAATTGTTTGCTTTGTTCCCAAACAGGGACTTAATTCGTTAAAGTGTAGCAATTTCTTTCTGGTTCGGTTCACTTTTACGAAGCAACATTTCAAAGCATACCAAAATGTGTTTATGCAAGTCACATGTGAGAAAATATGTCCCCTTATTGGTCAGTTTCCTCTGCATCATTCATCAAGATTGATTGATAAGTTTTCTCCGTAAGCTTATTGTGGCTTTATCTGTAGCTGTGGTGACACTCGCAAACACTTGTTTCACTTGCGAATGTGTAATGCTTTTCAATAAATGTTTTTCTCATGCCTAACACGTGGAACATAATATAATATAATATAATATAATATAATATAATATAATATAATATAATATAATATAATATAATATAATATAATTAGGGCTGTCAAATGATTAATCACGATTAATCACATCCAAAATAAAAGTTTTTTTTACATAATATATGTGGGTGCATTGTGTATAATTATTTTATATATATAAATACACACACATGGTTGTATATATTTAAGAAATATTTTCATGTATATACTGTATATAGATTTATATATAATTTATATTATATATAAATATAAATATTTTATACATAAATTATATATTTTTCTTAAATATACATGCATGTGTGTGTATTTATATATATATACAAAATAATTATACACAGTGCACCCACATATATTATGTAAAAAAAACTTTTATTTTGGATGTGATTAATCGTGATTAATCATTTGACAGCCCTAAATATAATATAATATAATATAAAAATATCTGTGATGGACTGACCAACTGTTCAGAGTGTTGTTTATAATATATCCATATAAGAAATTATATTATATTATATTATATTATATTATATTATATTATATTATATTATATTATATTATATTATATTATATTATATTATATTATATTATCTGTGATGGACTGACCAACTGTTCAGAGTGTAGTTTATACTATATTTATTAGAAACAAAACATAACACAATACAGTACAATACAATATAATATCTGTGATGGACTGACCAACTGTTCAGAGTGTTGTTTATAATATATTCATATAAGATATTATATTATATTATATATATATATATATATATAATATATTATATATATATCTGTGATGGACTGACCAACTGTTCAGAGTGTAGTTTATACTATATTTATTAGAAACAAAACATAACACAATACAGTACAATACAATATAATATCTGTGATGGACTGACCATCTGTTCAGAGTGTTGTTTATAATATATTTATTAGAAACATAACATACATTATTTATAATTCACCTCTATAGTAATTTCATTGTAAAATGTGATCAAATTCAAACTAATTTATGTGGTTTCTATATATATATATATACATTTTGAGTTTAATATTTCACTTGATATATTAAAACACGGCATGAAATTGTACTGCATAGCAGGAATGAGTCTTTAATGATGAGTATCGTACTGGGTCTTCAGGTTTCTGGTCCTCCAAAAAGAGCAACTCTGGATCCAGTCAGTGCACAGAGGAAGAAGAGGTACCAATGCCAGTGCAGGAGGTGTGTGGAAAGACAGAGAAACTGGAGGATATCTGAGAAAGGAGGAGGAAGAAGGCCGCTGATGCGTCTACGGATTGAGTACTTACTTTAGGACAAATCTGCTGCTGCCATTTACTCAAGAGAAGAGTGAGAGGTGAAGAGGTGGCTCATCTGAAGGTTCTGTGAGAACGACTGTCCATCCTGAGAAATGCTGAGAGACAGTCACTGCACATAAAGACACACTCAACATTCGACATGGAGCTAATCTTTAAGTTTTCTTCTCTGCACACTTGTTTGTATTTATATTATAATTGGGTAGTTAATGCACAAAATCCACGTGGACTTTAGGTTAAAATGTATATAAATGTACAAGGGAAAGTCTACATGTTAGGTAGCTGTTCAACATTTCTTTTCACAATTTGAATCGCTTTAAAAGTAATAGGCTTGTTCGACTTCATGCAGCTCTGCGCAGACCGATCGGCGGCTGACTTGAAGCAGTGAATGCCAGTTAGAAATTGTGTCCGACTTGATGCCGACGCCACGTGACTGTGACGTATGACATCAAAGTACGGCGAGAGAGCGATTCGAGAGCAGCCGCAGGATTCAGTCATCTCTATGGCTGTGGGCTGCACGAGCTCTGATGACGACACCGATGTTTCACGATTGGCCCGATTCACCGCATGACAACAATGTTTCGTGTTTATTCTCACACCTCTCACAATGCTCACAAATCTGTTTTAGAACAGTAAAATCTTATATTCATGTAGTCGTGATTTTATAATTGTGTCATGTTTATCAAAATAAAACTGATTAAAAAAACGAAGACCTCACTAGATTGTAGGCTATAGGCCTATTTGGAACATATTCTTGTACAAACAGACGCTGTATTAAGCAGAACATAATTGAATGAAAATATCTCTGAAAAGTGTGGATTTGACAAATATTGCATTTATTTCACTTCAGCTGTGGTAAAGTATGGAAACAGAGCGCGAGCGTCACTACGGGAAGCAGAAAGTGTCAGACTTCACGTCTCCGTTTGCAGCTCCTCCCCGACTGCACACGGCAACTCCAGCCGCAGCCGGTGTCCAACACGCCTAATGTCTCAAATAATGAGGTCATCAAAGAAGAATTTCATGTTATCTATCCAATTGCATAAAACAGAAAAGGGAATTATAGTCCATTTTGCAGTGAAATGAATTTAGTAGTGAATTTAATAGCAAAAAATAAACTTTTATTGATTCTATTGCACTGTACAATCGACATCAGGTATAAAACAAAATGTACATTACAGTGAATATACAACATAATACATGATGACACAATGTTCCTGTGCTGTGCTTATTGAGTTCCCAGCGAAGAAACAATGTTGACATTTCCAGACCACCATCAAAATGTCAGGGCTTTTTTGACAGCACAATCCATCATGTCTGCCACACAAAAACCAAAGAAAAGAGGAAGAACACTGACAACATCAACCAGGGACTTAACGTGATTGATAAACCGCTGTTTTTGTGATACTAACAATTGTAGCAGAATTAATAACGGTTATAAATAAAAATGTTTACAATTTAATAACGGTATATTCAAAATACCCCATAAGTCACTAAATAGATATTCATTCCCTTTAGATATATCCAATATAGTAAGAATCAATCGATCGATCTAAAGGAAATTATGGGGCACACTGCAGTTACAATAACTTCAATAAACTTTACTTCAAATAAATATCTCAACATACAGTATATGTGAATCTTCTGAGTGTTTTAGAGCTGCTCTTTGCCTTCAAACACTTTGAAAAGAGGCACTGAGATTCCGCTTCGTTCCCGAGGGTCATTCAACCATCATAAGACCTGCAGTGAACTGAAAGCCTGTGGTATCGACTCTTCACAAAATCAACATTAGGATCCCACTGCTGTTCTGATGGTTTAGAATCAGTGGTTATGCATACACGTACTACTGTATGGGGAATATTTCAAAAGCTGTCATGAACTGTCCGGCTCATACACGACACTTTTGTCATCCATACCGTCACTCAGGTCTTCCCCTAACGCTGCTTCTCTCTATGAAATCCCCTGCCTGGGTTAGAGTTTGAAAACTGGGTACTTATAAAGCATCAGTTAAAACAAACCACACAGCAGTCGAACAGTACGGAAGAAGAACGGACACAAATTTCCCATGATCCCTCACAGCACCTCTTCTTTAGATATGTGGCACTCTTTCCCTTGCTCCTGAGATGGGAAGAAGATAAAGTCGTTCTCTCTGCTCCGTTCCTCCTCAGACAGATGGACGGGAGGAGACCGAGGGTAGGACGCGTTGCTGTCATTCAGGGACTCTTCTTGGAGTTCATGTGCTTTTTTCTCTCCTCCATCCCATCCAAACTGATTGAGCAAACTAACAAAAACTGTATGGGGACCGTAGATGTGGAGAGGGCCTGCGAGAAACAGAGAATTTTTAAATTTGTATACTATTTGACGTTTGCTTGCTTTTTTTTTTTCTCATTAAAATTTGTGTGGGTCAATGACAAATAAGTGTCCAAGAAAAAAAAGAAAAGAATGCGTTTAAAAGGTGTTAGAAATGTTTGATTGGTTTCATGTTATTTTGAAAAACATTTAAAACTGCATCAAAAATAATTGAATGACTGTAAAAGTGTAATGTGGTGAAACCGTCAAGTCAAAAGTATGTTATACATTAAATACACAGTGTTCATGTTTTATGGGGAAATCACCATAGACATGATGATTTTTATACTGTACTACAAACTGTATATTCTATCCCCTAACCTTAAACCTACCCATAACAGATTTAAATTATTCTATATGATTTATAAGCTGTTTTCCTCATGGGGACCAAAAAAGTCCTAACGTTCTACATATAATGATATAATAATTCATAAACATCATTAGATTTTGGGGAGTTGCACCACATGACCATTTTACACCTACACTAATCTTGCATAATAGGTTCAAATTATCTGATATTTTAAGCAACTTTTTGAACATTTCTATGATATCATTCCCTTTTTTTTTTTTTTTTTACTGTTTATGCATATTGGTTTGACCACATGACATGATTTCAAAGTCAAATCAAATATTTTTCAAATATTAATAAGCAGTGAAGCAGTTTTGTTAACAAATGATAATAAAAGATAATGCCAAACTACTTGATAAGGTTTTCTTTTCAAGAATTTCATTATTTTTTATTATGGTATGATACACATTATTTTTAGGTCACGCCCCTTACTTCATGCCATAAAGTTGTAATTTTAGGTCATATGTTTTAACAAATTAATAGATATGAAAAAAAAAAGCATAATGTGTTTGACCCTTTTAATAAAAAACGAAAATCACAAAAAGCATCCTTTTATAGTACGGTACCTAAATTGCCAGCTGGAGGCACAGCCTGCTCTGAGCTGACTGGCTGATGAAAAGAGCAGTCTGTGCTGTGATTGGTGGGTTTGCTGGCATGTGACAGCATCCCCTGTGGGTGGGGCTGCTCATCTGGTTGGCTGGGAGAAGGTTTGGTCTCACTGTCCACCTTGAGAAATTGAAGGACTGTAAGCTTATACTGTCTATGACTGTAAGTCAGATAATGTATGTTAAAATACTGCGCAAATGTGCACTCACTCATCACTTACCTCTATATTACCCAGAGAGCACTGCCTGACAACTAATGGAGAGGAGAAACAATGAGAGGTGAGACAGAGATTGACCCAAAAAGAAGAAGAAATATGTGTGTGTGTGTTACTCACAATGCTTAAAACATTCCTTCTCTTTCTTTCTGCAGTGCCGGAAGAAGAGTGTAAGGATGATGACAGTTACCACGACCAAAATTAACCCAAAAATCCACACCAAATTATAGTCAACTGCGAAATAAGCACAAGGAAGTGAATTAGCATAACTATTTATGGTGAGATGAATAGCTGAACAGGTGAGATGAAAAACGTCCTATATTGGAAAGTGCTCTTAAATGGTGCTATCATTAGATGACAGCAAAACGTACTTCAAAATCTAAAAATAGGCATAAACCAGTGTCCACGATAATAAAATATCCAAAAATCTACTCACTAGTCCGCTTATACAGCCTTGTTGCGTTTATACTTGCACTCTTGCAAACTATTTCCAACTGGATGATTTATAGTATTTATATTTAAATTTGTATCAAAACTGTAGAAGCCAAACAATACTATGAAGAAAAACTATATCCAAAACAGACGCAAGTTAAAACCAAAAGATTTTCTCTAAAACAATGCAAACATTCTCAAAAAAGGTGTGGCCGGATTTATCCACTATAACACAAAAACAGCACCATAGATCCTAAGGTGTTTTTTTAAATAAAGATGGAAATAGTTGCCAGAAGTTTAGTGGTGGTGACGGTGAAGTCATGTGACCGTGATGTAGTTGTTTACTTTATATCCTAAATTCAATATTTGACTTCTGGCCATTGAATTTAGGCTTCCAAATTCGTAAAAGTTGTGTTCATTTGTGAAGATAACCATGATAAACAAAGTGTGTAAGAATCATAAACTTTTGTTGGTCACAGAGCTTATTTTCTGCAATAATCTAAAAGCCAAAGCAAAAATCCTATTAGCTTTTTTGTGATGTGTGAACCAGAGTGATGCTAACTTCTGGGTTGGCCTACAAAAATAGGTCATCCATAAAGATTCAAGCCCACCTCCTGCTCCCCCTAGTGGCAGACCCCTAATCACTTATGAATTTGAAAACTTTTTTGTCAGCTGAACCTTTTAGAATATTTATTTAAAGTACCCACTGAGATTGAAGAGGCCATTATACCCTTTTTTTTCCAAAGTCTTGATTTTGTTTTTGGCTCTACTAGAATAGGTTTTCATGCTTGGAAAATAATGTGTTTTTTGAATATCCATTTATTGCAGCACCTCTATTCCCAGTCTGTCAGTAACGCTCTGTTTAGATTATGTCTCTATGAAGCCCCTCCTTCCGAAAAGCGCAATGTGCTCTGATTGGTCGGCTGGAACAGTGCGTTCTGATTGGTCAACTGCTTCAAGTGAGTTTTGGAAATGTCACACCCCTCACCATAACCATGAGTTTCAACACACTACTAAAGCAACTCATATGCCTTGGGTGGGAATTATTTAAATGAGGAACATTGTGACGTGTACTTCCTGGAAAAAAGTTCAAGACTATAATCCAGGCATTTCAGCGAGTTCATAAACAGTGCTTACTGATATAGAGAATAATATAGATACAGAGATGCTAAAAAAGGTCCACTTTAATATTACAATAATTTAAAATGAATGGTTCTCTGATATATATATGTTTTAACTCTATAAAAATAAAGACAAAAATATATTACTGTTGTGAATTAAATTTGTACTTTACATTTTTTTATTTTGGTTATTATAATAATGAAAAAGCATCAGACTATACAATTATTTAATTTAAATGCAGCCTTTAATTTGTTTATCGCACTAAGCTATATTACGATTATTGTGCAGCCCCATTTATTTATTTTCATTTTACATTCAATATAATAAATTTTTTAGCTTTTCATCATCTCACGAACCCCCTGCAGTTCCCTCACAAACCCCAGTTAGGGAAACCCTGATGTAGAAGAAAACAGCCATGCTTACCCAGCAAGCTCTGTGCACTTGAGGATGAAGTGGTGGATGAAGTGGTGGATGAAGCGGTGGATGAAGTGGTGGATGAAGTGGTGGATGAAGCGGTGGATGAAGTGGTGGATGGAGGGGCGTCAGAGGAGGTGTAGGACAGGCTAGGCGTGGTGACGGGAACACACTCCCGACATCGGCCTGTGTATTGGTCTATCGTGGTACATACATAACCCTTCTGACAGCGACACACTACATCTGATGTCTTCGTACACTCCTTCACCACCTCCATATAGAAATCTAACACACACACACACACAAATGTGTTTTCAAAATGAAGCACTTTTTGCTATACTTCCTGTTTCTATTCTCACTTCATCTTGTTTATACTATCATGGGTATGTTAGGTGTAATGCTCTTCATACCAGCATCGCAGCTCTGGTAGCAGCGGTGGCAACTGTTTTCTCTGTTCATCTCACTGGTGAAGAAACCAGAGGAGCATGGAAGACACTGACAGTTTGACTGGTATTCTCCTGAGGGATGATGGATGGGCAGCAAGACAGAGGGGAAAAATAGGAAGTGGAAATGAGGAAGACAAATACAAAACAAAAAGGATTAAGGTCAAATTCATTAAAACTAACAAGAAAGATGTTTTTCATTTTTAAATAAACAATCAGTTTGACGTAATGACATGATGCTGATTAGTTAACCATAGCCTATTTATTCATGTGTATCATCATTTCCTAAAAAAAAAAAAAAACACACACACACACATGATGGCAATTCCGATATTTTGTTTGTATATAAAAAAAAGTCAATATTAGTTTGTTTTGTTTTCATATCATTAAACATAAGCCTGTTACTGGCCTATACAGTTCACATCAATACATTTTACAGTCAGTCGAGTTTGTCATCTGAGGAAAAAAAGAGGCTATTAAATTGTTGGTCTAATGCAATTACGCATGTGTCAGACGGACGTCTTTGGCCATTACACCATATTTTACTGTTGATAATTGGCTATTCTTGTTCTTTATGGAATATTGTAGCCTGGGAAAACCCAGACAACTTCCGGCAAATTTAGATTTGCTCATTCAAGCTCATTTCCAATCCGCCGAAATCGAGGCACCAATCAGAAACGTTGGGGCGGGCTTTACACGATGACGACAGCGCTGGGATTTTGAAGCAGATTTTGTAGCCTACATTACAAAGATGGATGCCGCCGTCGAACATCACTCGTTCGAATCAGCTATCGCGTCTGTTTTAAGCGATTTGAACGTTTCCTTTTTGTTAAAAACCGAGCAAAGAACAACACTCGGAGATGTTTCTCTGCCGCTCTGCACACGTCATCTCCTTCATCGCTCTGATTGGGTTTAGGTCTATCCGCGACGTCCGTTGGTGACGCCCCTCTGGAAATGATTTGTCTATGACGCTTTGCCAGACCACTGCTGCGTCCCAATTCGCCTACTTATACTACGCCCTAAAAGTATGTACTCTTTTTGTGAAGAAAAAGTACATACTTTTGAGTGTGTAGCAAAAGAGTAGGCAAGCTTTGGAACATACTACTTCGTCATCATTAACGGACAGATCTGTCGCGTGCATCCTGTCACCGTAAACTGCCCTGTCAATCATCTAATCACAGTTAAAATCCTCCATTCAATCTAAGTTAATTTCTTACGGTTTCGGAGAGAAATGTTGTAGCACGTTCATCTGCCTGTCGTGGGTCTTTCATGCCGAGACTCTCCTCATGTGTTTGGATTTTGGATATAATAATGCATTTAAAAGTTAATGGCTAAACATATCTTTGCAAAAGTTCACAATGCTGCTGCAGATGCAATATAATGTGGACAACATTGAATAAATACATTTTCGTCAGTTTAGATACTGATAATTAATCACTCAAACCCCTTTATCTAAACCTCTCTACATAACCGTCGGACTCGCGCTTCCTCCATGTCTGTAGTTTTTGAACACTTTTCACTTGTGTTTGTAGTTCTAACCGAATCCTCGTCCAACGCGCGATGGGTTGTGGGCAATATCAGCCGTTAGAGTGCGCATCGATCTGCACTTCGGATTCTGACCGGATATAGTAGACCATCCGGGTCTCTGTGGAACACTCATTTCAACATACTACGATTTGGGACGTGTACTAATTCTATTTTCGAATACTATTTAGGACGGATAGTATGCGAATTGGGACGCAGCACATAACTCAGTTACAACTGAGAATGGTCTAGTTTTAACCAGGCTAGGAATATTGCCGAATTTATTATAAATGATTTATACCATGGTCTGTCTGAATTCTCGATTCTGTTTAATGCACAGGTAGTTCCAAGTCAGTTTAATCACTGTTCTATATCAATGCGATGTTTTTATTGAAGCGCACACGCACTTACGTCACTCAGAGATGAGCACAGAAACTTGTAATCAACTCTGCCCTGCGACTTTTATTAAATAATGAAATAGCTTCGCTACATTATATTTCTCAGCAACGAGGGGGTGACATTGCTGGTTTTGACCTTCAAAATGCACACGCCAGAAGCCAAACATGTTAAAAATGGCTTCTCCAACAAGCGTGCATTCGATGGACACTTCCCATGAGGCCATGGGAGGGGTTTATGAATTGCTGGTAGGTCACGTGACAGTAACAACAGGGCAGATGTAGTATGCCTGGATTTAATTCATACTGTCCATATTCATACTATATATAGAAAATACTTTTTTAAGGGTTGCAAAGTACATTCAAATTCAAACTCAGACAGAATGCGATTTCGCACACAGCGATTGCCTTGTAGCACAAATAGTTTTAGTTTTACTATTTACTGCACTGTTATTCTTGTTTGAGTTTCCTTGCGTTTTCTTTTGCAAAAATACTGCGTTAATTCCCCTAAGAAACTTTGCATCCGCTTCCAAACATTTGCGTTCTGCTGCAAAACTATCGTTCTCCCCAGAGAAACTCGCAAAAAAGCTGAAATATATATTTTTTCCTCCCATCTCATAATTCACAAAAGTATTGCAAGAGTACACACTGTTTCTTAGGGGGAACGCAAACGTTTTGGAAGAGAAAGCAAAAGCATTGAAATATAATTTTGGAGTGGAAAAAGCCCACCCTGTAGGCAAAGGCTATTTAAATGAACTCCACCCACCAATGATTGACCCAGATAAATAATTACAAAAGAAACCCAATCTGATAACAGAATCGGGGGAGTGGAGAGTAAGGTGGGTAGTGTTAACTTTTGACGTGACCCAAGATCAGCCATTTTGTAAACTCCTTCTTCTACCTTTTTCCATCGCAGAGGTGTCTATCTTAAATAAAAATTAAGAAAATATTTAAAAAGTGGAAATAAAGTGCCCAACGAGATTTTAATAGTTGGAATAAAGTGTTTAATAGGCATAATCAGGGGTAGGTGTAGGGGACGGCTTTAGGGCAGGATCAATTAATGTCCTAATAAGGTGGCATCCATTTATGAATTTAATAAATATAATCATATACACTAAATATGTTTTTATTATTGCAAATAGTTTACTACAATACACTGAGGTGCAAAGTAGTATCTAACACTATTTGCACTAGGTATAAATAGCATCTAACAACTCTTACACTTAGTGCAAATAGCATCTAACTAATATTTACTATTATAGAGGCTCTTTAAAAAAGGTGTTTACACATAACTTGCACGCACACATAACTGCCAAACATGAATGCACGGAATAGATGAAAGTAAAATGACTATCATAACATATTTAAAGACGTAATAACTCAATTTGTATTTGACTGTGCACAGACTTCAGCTCAAAGGGCACACACTGAATATCTTTAAGGCGGATGTGGGTGCTGCTCGCACACAGACACACTCACACACAATACGTGCACACACACTTTACATGCACAGACTCATACTTGCTGACTGAGGTCTCTTAAGGGGAGAGATGAGAAATAGCATCAAAAACAGGACGTTACACAGAAGCTTTAACAGGCAGTGGCATTCTAATGAAGGAAGTGGTTGACGCTTCTGTGTCAGAAGGTACCATTTCCCATCACGAGAGAAAAAGAAAGAGAGACATAGGAAGAAGAAAGAACGATGAAGAAAAACTTAATAAATAACCACTGATTTCTTGAGCAATTTCTTGCTCAGACCACATTCGTAATACTGGGAAGTGTGGTGACAGAAAAGTACTACGCTCACACTCTCCACACAAACAGGGATCGAATTCAGAGAAAGTGATGCCGCATGCCAGACATAAAAGGCTCTGAGAAAATATAACGCCCAAACATGCACTCTCACCTGCTGGACACAAAGAAGAGCAATCTTCTGACAGGGCTCTGGGTCTTCTCACTTTACCGTCCTGCTCAAAGCAAACGACAGCACAAAAGACTATTAGTAACGGATGCATCCAATACAGTAACGCTGTATCTTTAAAGTGCACATTCGACTTTAGCTCTGAAACGGTTCTGTGCTAATTCAGCGTGCAGCATGCTAAAAGTCTTTACAACATGTTAACATAATATATCATAGGCATTATAATAACATATATCATAGTTACCATAGGGAGGCCATATATCAGGTGACCTGTCAGCATCACCATGGCTACAGATAGGACTGTCACGAGCATCTGTAAATAATAAAATTATATCAGACAAGAAGTGATCCACGCACACAACATATCACACACCCTACATCAGTCACTCGCTGCAGAGAATATACAATACAATATACAAACTTTCGAATAAAGAAGTGTGATTGTGAAGTTTCACATCAGTTTTCACACGTTCATGGTCAATAAAATAATTGGCTATATTTTGCATCAGCTGAGTTCGCAAAAAAAAAAAACACACAAAGGAAGTAGATTTGTGGATCTGATGCAAACAGCAAAAAAAGTATGTGACTGGCTTCTTGTTTAGTTTACTTTTACTAAATCATTTTAGATTTCAGTCAGCATCTTATAACAAAGACCTGCATTTTAGAAAAACGCGGCAAGTGAAAAACACAAAACAGCATAACAATAACGGCAGTATAAGTAAAAATAGTCAGTACCTCACAATTAGTAGAATCCATAATGTCATCAAATGCTTTCAAACTCAATTTCTGTGTCTTCTGCCAGTCTGTGTTCTGTTCTGCTCATCACATCTCATTGTTTCCTTACCTGCTATGTCTTCCTGTCATTCTCCTCCCTCTCTTTCTCACACTGCCCTTCACCTGCTTACTGTTTTGGAGAGAGAGAGAGAGAGAGAGAGAGAGAGAGAGAGAGAGAGAGAGAGAGAGAGAGAGAGAGAGAGAGAGAGAGAGAGAGAGAGAGAGAGAGAGAGAGAGAGAGAGAGAGAGAGAGAGCTGTCACGTCTCGTTGATGTTTCATTTTTACTGGTTTGATTAAGGCTATTCAGACTGTAAGTGTATTTCTAATTAGAGTAGTTTTGGAATGCATCATAAAAATATACACATATGAACACATTCTCCCGTTTGCACGGAGCTGCACACAAAATGAAAATAACTTCTTACTTATTTTCTATATTTTATGTTGAACAAACTCCATTTTAGTGGTACATTTACATTTTACATTTACATTTATTCATTTAGCAGACGCTTTTATCCAAAGCGACTTACAAAGGAGAACAAGCAGTTAAACTAACAGTAGGACAACAATATGCAAGTGCTATGACCCCTCTCAGTTTAATCTAAAATTATTATTATTTTTTTTTATAAAAAATTTGAATAGAAGAGAAAGTGTTAGTATTACTGGATCAAGTGCTGCCGAAAAAGATGCGTCTTCAGCCGTTTCTTGAAAGTGGCCACGGACTCAGAAGCTCTGGTTGAGTTAGGCAGATCATTCCACCAGCAGGGAACAGTCATGGTAAAGGTCAGAGAAAGAGATTTTGTGCCTCTTTGAGATGGTACCACAAGACGACATTCGCTTGCAGAGTGCAAGTTTCTGGATGGCACATAAGACTGAAGTAATGAGTTTAGGTAAAAGGGAGCAGAGCCAGTGGTTGTTCTGTAGGCAACAGTGACTTGAATTCAATGTGAGCGGCAACTGGCAACCAGTGCAATTTTGTGAGGAGAGAGCTCATTAAAGACCACTCAGGCTGCAGCATTCTGGGTCAGTTGGACAATGAGTTGTGTAGCATGCTCTGTTGGGAAGGGCCTGATCCTCCTAATGTTGTGCAAGGCAAATCTACATGACCGGGCAGTTCTAGCAATGTGGTCTGTGAAGTTCAATTGATCATCAATTACAACCCCAAGGTTCCTGGCTGACCTTGATGGAGTTATGGATGACGAACCTAGCTGAATGGTGAAGTTGTGGTGTAGTGTTGGGTTGGCCGGGACCACAAGTAGCTCTGTCTCCGCAAGGTTTAGTTGAAGATGGTGGTCCTTCATCCAGCCAGAAATGTCAGGCAGGCAGGCTGAGATACGAGCAGTTACCGTCGGATCGTCAGGCTGGAATGAGAGGTAATTGTAATGTACTCCTCAGGGTGGAGGAGTTTTTTTTTTATTCACATACATATACATATATTCATATGCACTTAAAATGAAGCCAAAAAACAAAGAAGATGATCATGTATGTGAACTGGTCCCCAAAGTAGCTATCTAAAGCTTATACTTGGGGGCCATGACAATCAAAAAAGGGGAAAAAAATAAAATAAATAAAAAATGTGTAGCCATACATATAAACATTACATACAACATTCGTACAACTAATGATAGGGGATCCCATTTCACAAGTACAATTTTGTTTGACAGTTTACCTTGAGATTATAAGATTAATACTTACATACATGCATAATGAAAAATAGTACATACTTCAAGAAGATGAATACAGACTCGATAATTGATTCTTGAGATTTTGATTAAAATAAAGAAAAGAGCTTAAATTTTTCAAAATTTCCATCCAGCTTGTTCCAAATCCGCGGTCCCCGGCACACTACACTCATACCAGTGCTTTTTAGTCTCCGTTAGGTAGACTAAAAAGGTAGACTTTAGGTAGAGTTGTGTGTCATCGGCGTAACAGTGATAGGAAAAGCCATGTTTCTGAATCACAGATCCTAGTGATGTCATGTAGATGGAGAAGAGAAGTGGTCCAAGCACTGAGCCCTGAGGCACCCCAGTAGCTAGATGTTAGGTTTTAGACACCACACCCCTCCACGACACCCTAAAGGACCTACCTGAGAAGTAAGACTTGAACCATTGGAGTGCGGTTCCTGAGATGCCCTTCTTCTTTAGGACTGACAGGAGGATCTGGTGGTTAACTGTGTCAAAGGCAGCAGACAGATCCAGCAGGATGAGAACTGAGGATTTGGAAGCTGCTCTTGCCAGTCTCAGAGCTTCAATTACTGAGAGCAGGGCAGTCTCAGTTGAGTGTCCTCTTTTAAAACCAGACTGATTGTTGTCCAAGAGGTTGTTCTGAGTAAGAAAGGAAGAGATCTGGTTGAAAACAACTCGTTCAAGTGTTTTCGCGATGAATGGAGAAGGGATATAATTTTCCAGATGTGCTGGATTTAGATTGGGTTTCTTAAGCAGTGGGGTTACCCGAGCCTGCTTAAAAGCTGTGGGAAAGGTACCAGTGTGAAGAGAGATGTTTATGATGTGCGTGAGTGCGGGTACAACTGAGGAAGAAATGGCTTGAAGTAGATTACTGGGAACAGGATCAAGTGGACAGGTGGTAGGGCGATTGAAAAGGAGGAGTTTGGAGACTTCTGCCTCTGAAAGTAGAGAGAAGGAGGGTAGAATGTGTGCGTTAGCTGGTAAAATGTGTGTGTCAGTTTGTGGATTGGTAAATTGGCCGCTGATGGTGGTCGTTTTTTCTATGAAGAATGTGGCAAAATCGTCAGCTGTTAGGGTTGATGAAGGATGAGGAGGGTTGAGAAGAGAGGAGAAGGTTTTGAAAAGCATGCGAGAGTCAGAAGAATTGTTAATTTTGTTGTGATAGTAAGTCATTTTAGCAGTAGAGATATTAGCAGAGAAGGAAGAGAGGAGGGATTGATAAAGACCAAGGTCAGTAGGATCTTTCGATTTGCGCCACTTCCTCTCTGCACCCCTGAGTTTAGAACGATGTTCGCGGAGAACATCAGATAACCAGGGGACAGAGGGTGTGGTGCGGACTGGCCTGGAGGAAAGTGGGCAGAAGTTGTCCAAGCAGGATGTTAAAGTGGAGAAAAGAGTATTAGTTGCACTGTTAGTATCTAGTGTTGAGAGCTGATCAGGTGGAGGAAGTGTGGATGAGACCAAAGAGGATAGGCGAGATTGTGAAAGTGAGCGTAGGTTCCGCCGAAAGGTGACCAGTGGAGGAGTGTGTGTTGTGTTCTGAGGCAGGTTGAGGATGAGAGTGAGGTGATCTGAGGTGTGCAGCGGAGTAACCAGCGTATGGTCAGTGGAGCAGTAGTGTGTGTAAATAAGGTCCAATTGGTTACCTGATTTGTGAGTAGCCGCAGTAGGTAGTCGTTTGAGGTCGAATGTGGCAAGCAGAGTGTGGAAATCACCAGCCAGAGGTTTTTCTAGGTGGATGTTGAAGTCTCCAAGAACTATGAGAGGAGTACCATCTTAAGGGAAGGATGAGAGTAGCACATCAAGCTCCTCCAAGAAACTGCCAAGCTGACCTGGGGGATGATATACAACTACAAAATGGATTTTAATAGGACTAGTGATGGTACTTAAATGTGATTCAAATGAGCCGTAGTCACAGAGGTGGTGAAGGATCAAATTTCCAGTCGTTTGAGATGAGCAGACCAGTACCTCCACCCCTTCCGGTCAGGCGAGGGGTGTGTGAGAAAGTGAAGTTAGTGGAGAGGGCAGCAGGTGTGGCAGTGTCCTCTGGTCTGATCCAGGTCTCAGTCAGGGCCAATAGGCTGAGACCTGAATGACTAGAAATAGATGTAATGAAATCAGCTTTATTTACAGCGGACTGGCAGTTCCAGAGACCAATAGGAAAAGAAAATAAAGTACTAGAAGACACCGGAAAGGTAAGCAGGTGGTTAGGATTGTACTGCCTCCGACGTGTGACATTTGATTTACGTATGTTAGTAATAGTAGGGATTTGAAAACCCATAGTGTAAAAGAGCTCACAAACAGAAAGATCAGATGAAAAGTTGTGTAGAAGAGAAAGGAAACAACAATAAAATAAAGTAAACAACAAGAAATTAATACTCAAGTGCCTGGTCGGTGTCCTTGCTCGGTGGAGTCGCACAGGTAGAGTCGTTACATACTTAGACCCAAAGCAACCTTCATAAAGCAGTTTAAAGGCAAAAGATCAGACTGAACCATTTTAACTTTTATCTTAAATGTCTTTTTAATTTACTCCATTTTGCCTTTTTTCTGTATTACCTTATTAAGCAACCGAGAGCGTAACAGACTGACTGACGTAACACTTATGAGGAAAAAATTGTGCACACACTATGACACAAAAACTCCACTCCTCGCAGTGTGTTCAGCAGTAACCTTTATTCTGAAATCTTTTTAAAGCTCCAGTCTTTCTGTACACTTGCAGTGAAGCGAGCAATTCCTGTTCTGCTTTGGGTTACACGTACACATTTATATATACATATAGTCCTGTTACTGTTTAAATCTAAATACACACGTGACATTGCTTCAGTTGGGGTACGTTTCCACCCCTTAGACACTCAGATGAGTCACTGGACAGCATCTGATAGCCACAACCACAGTGGCACATGTGTAAATTTAAAGAGAACCCATAAAAGATAAAGTTTCATTCATTCCTGCGAGATGTTACAGAATGACACGGAGATGCTATGAATGACTGAGATCATTCAGACGTTCTTCTATCTAGACTCTTAATGAGTCCCAAGCGATCATTTCAAATGTTGTAATTCTCTTTTCAAGGTTCAGGACTTGCTTGCATAGCCAGCGTTTGAGCATTACACGACTCTCCTTTTGTCTCTTCTAGGTTACAGTATCATTGCATTCATACATTTATTGCAAATAAGCATTCTTTCTAAGCACTTTTCTCCTTTTTTTTCAAAATCTATTATTTTGGTGAAGATATTGTGTGGTATTGTGTGAATTTACTCATTGTTTGTAGCCACTGCTAATCTGAAGAATCTTTGAGAAAAATGCAGTCAGTTCCAATGAGTCTGATTTTCCTGACTGTACACTATTGTCATTTTCATACAAGACAAGGTTTGTGGTTATTGAATTGTTAACAGAATTCTCGTAAAAAGACTTTTGCTTTAAGGTCATATAGCAACAAACAAGAAGTAAATTGCTGTAGAAAACAACCACTTACTTGTTGCAGAAACCTGGAGTGCTCACTCCGTACAGTACATATACACATGCATACATAGTCTTACACACGTAGTTCAGCTCAGTGCTGCAAAACAATAACAAATAAACTCAATTAAAAGATTTTCTGTGGACAAACAACAGCTCAGTTGTTTGCAATGGCAGCAGAAATGTCACAAACAATATGATAAGCAATGCTTAGTTCACAAAAAAAACCTTTTCCTCAAAATCAAATGTGTTGGTACCCATAGAACATCTTTGAAATAATGTGAAACAACTGAAATATTCAGTAAAATCAAATGAATCTGCAAATCCCCGAGAGACCTTCACAGTGGTCAGAGGGAAAAACCTAAGGCAGACACACAGTGTTGTTCATCATTCAGTATGCAAAAAATAGAACAAGATAAAAAGAAAAACAACCCGAGGATGGTTCATAACATATTGTTCAAATGAATAAATTATGTTCTGGCTCATCATAGAAAGTGATATGTACTGTGAAATGTGTTTATTAAAGCTTTCACTCTTTGTTTTCCTACAGTGGAAATTTACATGCTGGATCTACAGCACCATGTTTTCAAAAGCATGAAGTTTTAATTTTCACTGTTTGAAGTATCTTTCCTGAATGTTTTATTTCACATTTGGCACTCAAAACGTCTCTGTCAAAGAGTTTTAGTCTCAATTCTTGAATTCAAGCTGTGGTTTACACTCAGACTACAGATATGAATGAACCAACATAATGTCGGTTTGTCAGTTTCTTTGTACTGTATTAGTCCTTGTGGGTGTTTGATTAGAACTAGAAAGTGCTCTCCCAAAAGGAGAGATGATTATTACAAACCACGTGAGGTTCTTGAGAACTTAAGCCAAGAATCAGATTACACATTCATTTGCATGATATATTGCTCAAGAAAATCACTGAATGAGTATTCTCCAGTAGATCTATCCAACCCAGGGGTGTCCAAAATCAGTCCTGGAGACTGAGCAATGTCCCGCAGAGTTTAGCTCCAACTTGCTTCAACACCCCTGCCTGGAAGTTTCTAGTATGCCTAGTGAGACCTTGATTAGCTGGTTCAGGTGTGTTTAATTGGGGTTGGAGCTGAACTCTGCAGGACAGTGGCCCTCCAGGAGCAGGATTGGACACCCTTGCAATATATCAACAAATCTTAAAGGTGCTGTATGCAATTTTTTGACTGTACTAAAGCATACAAATACCAATATTTGTTTTAGGGAACATGCTAAGTTCACATACTTGCTTTTCTGAAAAACAATGCTACAGCTAATTATTTTACTTTGAAATGTGCGTATGTTTCGACACTACGGGTTCTTATGAAGTATGAAATAACAGCTATTAGTAAAACATAAAATAAATGATATAATCAGATTAATACACTCATGGTAATTATAGCTAAAAACCTACCCCACAACCCCAAACCTGCCCTTCCATAAAATTAAAATTGACTTTAGTTGTATATTTAAAAATCTTTAAAAACTGAGGGAAACATCAGGATGACCTACGACATCTGGTGATATGTTATACGATCTGTATGCCTTATCACTAGGTAGTGATAGTGAAGCTTAAAAGAAAGGAAAGTGAAGCAGAAGAAGAGCAGTACTAGTGATGACATCAGCGAATCCACAGGGAGGGGCTCTGATGACATTCATTATAGAGGAGTAACTTGTGGTAGGGGGTGTAATTTGAAGGGGCGTGAATTGTAGTACTGCGGGACGCAGTCGGACACACTTGGAGAAAACTCTCTCCAATACTTTGAATTTGACTGCAGTATCCATTTCAACCGCTAGCTGTCAATATTACATACTGCACCTTTAATTTGCAGGATTTCCACCTCAGAGAACAAAATTGAAAAAGATAGTTAAAAATAAGAAAAAGTGGAAATTACGAGAAATAAAGAAGCTGTGAGATATATTCACAATTACCAGAATCATTGTTGTGAATATAAAGTTGCAATAACTAGAAACAAAGTGGCAATTGTGTGAAACAAAATCGCAAAGTTTTTGTCGCAAAACAGAAAGTCGCAATTTTGAAATACAACGTCACAATTATGAGAAACAATGTTGTTAAATAAAAGTAGCAATTACCAGAAACAAAGTCACAATTGTGAGATATAACGTTAAAATGAGTGTTGGGTAAATTTCTCTAAAAAAGTGATTAATCACTAGCTACTAATTATTTCTTTACCAGTGTAATTAGATTACTGTACTTAATTACTCCCTCTAAGAAGTATTGCATTACTTATTACTTTCTAAATCCCATATCAACCTCGACCAGTTGAACGATACAAGGATAGACATGAAACTGCTCTTTTTATTATCTAAATATAAAAAAGCATAAATTATTCTTGAACTGACCAAAAGGGAGTTTACATTAAAAACAAACCTTTTTACATACAGTAATTCCTTACTTTACTTTTGAAGGGGAATGAATGACTTAGTAATAAGTTACACCCAACACTGGTTCAAATTTTGAGAAACAATGAGGCGATGAAGTGTGATATATGAAATCGTTATTCGAAAAAAAAGTGGCAATTGTGCGAAACGAGTCACAATTGTGAGATATAAAGTTGCAACTGAGATATCCGGCAAAGTCACAACTATCTTTTTTGCTTGTTTTTTTTTTGGATTATTTTATTTACTCTGAGGCAGAAATGGGTTTCCACAAGATCTCTGTTAATAAAAATAGTTTGTTTGTTAAACATTTGATGGAATCATTCATCAATGAGTTTAACTATCAGGATCACTGGTAGACTATAACAAGATAGGATGCTCTAACTTAAACTATCAACTATCACCACTAGCATGAAAATAACTCTTCAGGGTCTCGCTCTAAAGGACTTCTCTCATATCACCTTATTTTACAGATCACTTTCCCACCCATTTCTAAGTCTGTAGTTCTTAACAGAACACAGCCAGTCTGGACTACAAGTCTATTCACAATGAAAACAACAAGGTCAGACAAATGGACAGACCTTTGCATCAACCTCAGCCATCAGAGGCACCAGCAAGATCTTAAGGACACCAAACAGAAAAATGCCAAACTACACTAGAAGGATTTTACTATCCAAAATAGAAATACTAGATACTTTTATGGTCTCATATCTATAGCAGCGATACATATACAGCATTTTCATGAAATTCTATTTTCGGAAATCTATCTCCACCGGCAGAGAAAAAGGCTCAATATCATTTATCTTAAAGACGAAAAATGAGGGGAAAAGAGAAAAGGAAATAACACAGCGGTTGACATGCGTAACGCTCTGACATGTACGCCGAAGCCATAACATCCTCAAATCTCACTCGTCTGACCTCACCCATCACTCATGTTTTCCACCCGCAAGGGAGGAAGTAAAAGAGTTCATTATTCTAAGCCGAGACTCCAAAGCAGCCTGGCATCAGCACAATACCGTTAGCATGAAACGTCATATACTTCATGTGAATTTGAGCACAGAGATGGGGGACGTGCAGGCTACAGTTACCTCCACCCTTCACTAGCATAAACAGCCCAGTATTTACAACAGCTCAGACAGGAAGCACAACACACCCACTGACCCACGGCTTACAGCGGCACGTAACGGTACATGCGGCAACAATAAGTGAGCAAATGTCCCCTCAGAGTCTCTAGGAAATGGAAACTTTGGTAAAACATTGTCAGTGATTCTCTGCCAGACATACGAAATCAAAAGTGATTGTATTCACTGATGAAAATACGATGACTCAGACATTTGGGGATGAGATCGGAAAACATGATTGAAACTCGCCGGTGGAGGGGCTCGCTGAAATCAGATAAGAGCAAACAATCTTGTGAGGACTCTCATCTTTAAAATTATGTAGGTGTGAAAACAGTACCAAAGGGGAAATGTCAGTACATGTTCTCTTTTGGGCACTCAGCACACACCATGTAATTCCATTTACCACCACTAGAGGCAGTGACTGGATAGTCTGCAAAAACATGAGCAGGGCTGATGTTGGTACTGATGATTGGTGCCGTGAAGAGATGAGGGGTGCTTTTTCTTCTTTTTCTTGCAAACCCATTCTTCAGATTGTTGTCATTATCTTCCTCCTTCCTCGGTTTTATCCCTCTCTGTTTCTCCGTTCGCATCTGCACCTCCTCCAGGTATAGAAGAAGTGGATTTGCTGTAAGGTGGTAAAAAGAATAAATCAACAAAATACACTTTCTTGTGATTTGGGCAATAGTAAAATATAACTTTCAGTAGCTTTTTAGATTCAGCATCTGAAGAGAAAAAAAAGAGTGAAAGAGTGATAAAGAGACAGTATTATTTTGCAGTATATTTCAGAATACTTAAAAAGATCACCCGAAACATGTCAACATTTACTCACCCTCATGTCACTCCAAACCTGTATTTAGTTATTTCTTCATTGGAACATAAGATATTTTGAAAAATGTTGGTAACCAAGCAATTTGGGTGACCTTTGAGTTCTATAGTCTTCCATATGGACATTTCTCCAAATATCTTCTTTCATGTTCCACAGAGGAGAGAAAGTCATCCAGGTTTGGAAAGACATGAGGATGAGTAAATGATGACAATAGGGGTTATGCTGAGCGCCCAACGTTCGAACCGGAAAACAGGTCTAAGCATTTCCGGTTTGCAGTGGTCAGGTGATCTCTGAGGTAATTTAAAGGATTAGTTCACCTCAAAATGAAAATTTCCGGATAATTTACTCACCCCAATGCCATCCAAGATGTTCATGTCTTTCTTTCTTCAGTGGAAAAGAAATTTAAGATTTTTGAGGAAAACGTTTCAGGATTTTTCTCCACACAATGGACTCAATTGCAACCAACATGCTGAAGTCCAAATCAATGCAGTTTCAAAAGGCTTTGAAGTGCTTCAAAGGCTCTGCACGATCCCAGTTGAGGAATGGGGTATTATCTAGCAAAACGATCGTTCATTTAAAAAAAAAAAAAACATTTATATACTTTTTAACCACAATTGTTCGTCTGCGACGCGCCAGGCATTACGACATCGCGGTGGAAACGTAACGCGTCTATTCCTCAGCTGGGAACGTGCACAGCCCTTTGAAGCACTTGAAAACCCTTTTAAATGTTTTGAAACATTGAAATGTTTTCCTCAAAAAACTTCATTTCTTTTCCACTGAAGAAAGAAAGACATGAACATCTTGGATGGCATTGGGGTGAGACTTGAGTAAATTATCAGGACATTTTCATTTTGAGGTGAACTAATCCTTTAATTTTTGCTTTTTTATAATACAATTCTTATTTCTGTTTTAATTAAGATGTCACGAATGCTGAAGTATCAGAAACGAGAACATCCGAACAGCAGTTTTTGTTGTGTATCGATCTGTTCTGTGTCGGGGGGAATTAACTATGGGGTAAGGAGACACACCACTGTCTTATGCCTTCATAATCATGAGTAAGTTAACGTTAAATGAGGAGGCGTAAAACTTAAATCCTTTATCTAACAGAGTACTCGGGGCTCTGGACGTTCGTTTGGCAATACGGTATACATCTGAAATGGATAGAATGAGTAGCTCCTGTAAACACCGGCTATAAATGTTGCTGTGTTTACCTCAGTAGCTGACGACCGGAAGTAGTTATACCCGTTTTGTAGAACCCGGAAGAATGTTGCGCATAAACCCTATTGTCATTTTTGTGTGAACTGTGATCTATGTCTATCATATGCCTCGTATGAATATAAATTCATGGTTTACAGCAGTATCATTGAGAGTTACTATTACAGTTTTAATTAATACTTTGAATTTGTTATTATTTTAATATTTTCCGTTTTCCTTTTAATTTTAGATCAAGTTTTAGTAATTTTGTAAGTGTGTGTTTGTCATTTATATTCGTTTTTAAAAAATGTTTATATATATTTAATTATAATAGTTTATAATATATTTTATTTAGTTTTAGTTATTTTAGTACATCAAGTTAAACTAAATGAAAATGAGTCATGTTTACTTGGCAATTATCTAAAATTAAATAAGTTTAAGTATTTTTTAATATTTTATTTTGTTTCAGTTAAGATTTGAAGTAAAAAAAAAATTTGGTTTTAGTTTGAGTTAAGAATAACAACCCTGTTAAATGTAAAGTGTGAAATCTCAAAATCTTAGTACCCAGGATACAGAGTATGAACAGTGTCAAGTGCCAAAAAAGTGTCAAAAGCCAATATGTTTGTGGATATATACATACTTTTCGTTTCCGCTCTGAGTGATGAGTCTCCTGCAGGTTTCCATCTGCACATCCAGTCCTCTCTTCATACTGCACATCTCCATGTACTCGTGAAGATGGCGGTTCATGTCTGACTTTGCTGTGGCAAGTTCCAACTACAGAGAAACAGATCGCATCAGACCAGGCTGATGGGCTCCCATACTTACATTTATATGTACATTTATTTACTTAACACTTTTATCCAACATACCTAACAAGAAAATAGCAGAACAATACTATTAACAGTGTGTATAAAACAAATTATTCATGACTGACAGAGATAAAGTACTGTATTATCACAAAATAAACCCTGACAGGGACCCTGATTGGCTGACTGTGCATTATCTTACTCAAAAGCTGTGTTATAATCTGGTAAAGCATGAAATTTAAGTAAACTATCCAAACTTCTCACCTCAATCTGGTCTATAGTCTCCTGATATTCCTTCTCCCTAGACTGAAAAAGACATTCAGTGTCCTTAATCACCTTTTCCAAACTCTCCTCCTGTCCAGGCAGAAAGAGAGAGAGAGAGAGAGAGAGAGAGAGAGAGAGAGAGAGAGAGAGAGAGAGAGAGAGAGAGAGAGAGAGAGAGAGAGAGAGAGAGAGAGGCACATTATCTCACTGCAGAAGCACAAGCACTCACCAGCAGATGAGATTTTACCAGAGGGAAAATAAAATACTAGATTAATGACCCTGTTGATGGAAAACTCTAAACACTTTGAGCTTTCCATGAAATGCGACACATTTCCAGCCCACATCGCATTAACTAATGTCAGTAATGTTTAGTATCGAACCGCCCCCCAGCAAACTGGACAGAGTACCCTGACCTAAATATGAACTGTGTGTGTGTGTGTGTGTGTTTGCATGAGTCCTATGAGTGAAGCCCATGACTGGATGACCACTAGAATCCTATTCTCCCTTGGATACTGAGCAGGTGTGTGAACCTAAGCTTCATTCTGTGTCAGATTCCTCCTGGATTCTATTAAAGATGCCCTCCCTTTGAGATGAACCAATACTCACCAGTTTACCACAAACATTAAAAAATACATGAAAAAGAATCAGATAGAGAAACAGACAGGAAGAGAGTGCCTACAGAATGAATAGAATGGAGAAAGAGGATGACAAATGACAGAGGAAATATGGAATGATATGAATTATGATATAAAGCAAAGAGCATAATGCTGGGTAATGCTGAGAAGAAAAAGGAAAGCTAAACGGAAGTTACGGTAACACTATTTCGATAGTCCACTTTAGACTTTCTACTAAACTATAAGTAACTTTGCAACTACATGTTAACTAACTCTCATTAGAGTATAAGTAGACTGTCTGCTTAATATCTGCTTACACTTTATTGTGATGCTTCACCAACAGACATTCTACTGATTATAAGTAACTATGTAAGTAAATGTCGACTTATTCTAACCCTAACCTAAAGGTGATGATACACAGGGCAACTTTTTGAGCAATGTTGCTGGGCAATCTTGCCAAGTGATTGTTGCTTGGGCACTTTCCCATTGAAAATGGGCAATAATGTATATCTGGATAATTTATATCGGTCGTGGGCCCTGTGTCTCATCTGGTTGCCCGTTGAGGCCAAAAAGTTGCCCTGTGTATCATCACCTTGAGAGTTAGTTGACATTTAGTTGCAAAATTACTAATAGTTGATAGAATGTCTAAAGTGGAGCATAAGAATAAAATTTAAAAGTTCTTTTTTAAAGAGAGAGAAAAAGAAAACAATTATTGCTGTCAAATCGATTAACCATTAATCACATGTAACATAAAAGTTTGCAAATATATATATATATATATATGTGTGTGTGTGCACACTATATCTACAAACATTTATGTTAATATGCGATTAATTGCGATTAATCTATTTGACAGCACTAAAAATGTTTTTATAAGAATACAATATCTACAATTTCTGTAAAAAGGCTTCATTTTGCTTCTCAATTAAACTTGTCGTAAAGATGCGTGTGTTCATTTACTGCAAAACAAGACAAAATACTGAGTAAGAGAATTGTTTTTACATGAATAAATGAATTTAGATGAATTAGATTAATATTAGGAAGTAAATATGAAATTTCAAGAATATTTTGTAGGTGCACCTGTCAGATTTTTGGATTATAATCAAAAGTCTTGCAGGTCCTTTCTATAAATTATGCCTCTCATGTGATTTTGACAGCACATTTTTTAAATATGAAATATTATTCATTTTATGGTACCTACAGTATTTTCAATTGTATGTTTGATAACACTTCACTTACGAGGCTGTTATTGAAAGATGGGATAGTGACGATTACATTGGACCTGCCAGCAAACATTCAACAAATGTTGAATCATAACAGAGGTAATTTACATAGAACTGTTATAGTTACGGTAGCAAAAACAGCCTGTTTAATCTTAAGTAGGAAAGAAGGTGGAAAATATTTTTAAAAAGACAAAAACAAATTTGTCACATTTCTGTGTCTAACATTATAATTGAGTCAAAAAGATTGAAAAAGAATGTAATATGATATGGACCATTGAATTCTTAAAAGGCTTTAAATCGTGGGAAAGTTTTAGGAAGTAGTAAGCAAGGAAGTAGTAAGCAATAATGTGCATTCTAACACTACCACAAATATCAACCACATATAAACGATATGACCCAGAATGCAGTGCACTAACCTCGCCCTGATTAGTGTCCGTTGTTAAAGTGCATCCTGGGAAATCCTCCCACAGAAGGAGCGTTTCCTCTGTCTCTTCCCAAGCCAGAGAGTCACAGTCATCCTCAAACTCACACTCACGCCTGGCAAATACACAGGTAAGTCATTACATTAGTCATAAACAGACAAGCAGTTGACAATTAGAGACCACAGCCCTGACCAAACATTGCAAGGGTCAACGTAATCGCTCACAGCTGGGTCAACATTCTCTGCATCTCTTCATTGATCTGGAGGGTTGAAGGGGTGCACACTTCATCTTCTCGCGCACCATCACTCTCAGAGGTGCTGACTGGCTCATCGGTCTCGCTGCCATTGGCAGGTTGCGAGGTTTGTTTACGGGCACGAGAGGTGATGGCATTTTGAGGGCTGGGAACCTGAGATAGCAAGAGAGAGAGAGAGAGAGAGAGAGGGTTAGGTCATTAATAACTTTAACCTCAACACTTTTGACCCAACGTAACATTGAAACAAACACACAAAAAAATGTGTTGGTTCGACCACTCCCCCTTCTACCCTACCGAAAATGCAATGCACATCAGTTCTCTGTGCCTCAGACACTATAGCAGGCATCAGCAGAAAATCACAGCAGCTGAGTCAGAGACAGAGAGGGGGCTGGGATGCTGTATGAATTACAAGCGTGCAAGATTACACGATACATATTTATGACATTCATTGCAGAAAATGTTCTTTTGGTTTTCTAGTAAAATGATTGAAACTGAAAACCATATCACCTGAAAAAAATAGGTTTATTTGAGAAGCATCAGGCATTAAAGTGTTCACAATACTTAAAAAAAAAACAGCTTTACAGAAAATCATGTTAATGTTTATAATATCTTCATGCCTTATAGTTGCATTTATCAGATTAGATCTCTGTGATAATACTTACATTTTATGATGATACATGCAATTAAGCAGTTGAGATTTGCTATAGTATATATTGCTTAATGTGTGTGTACTGTATGTACGCTGATAAAGTTGGATTTGGACAGTGCCGGTCCTCCCTATAAGCAAAGTACGCAAGTTGTGTAGGGCCCCGTACCACCAGGGGGCCCCCTTGCTCTCAAAGATTAATTAACGACTAGGGATGTGATAGTTTCGGTTTGATTTTAGCTTCCAACGATTATGAAAACATGATGCCGCATTACGTCCTTTAAACGTTCTTTCTACGTAACATCCAAAGCCGAACCCCATTCGTCGTATAAAACGGCTCCGATATATTATCACCCCATTGCACTTTTAGAGTTTGATGTATGTACCAAAAATGTAAAATTCTTAACATATAAGGGGAGACCCCTCTTTCTTGCAATTTTGTAAATACCTTAGTATGATTAACTCAAACGCCTTCGAAGCATCTAAGAAACACATAAAAACTGTGGAATTATGAGCATTGAACTTACTAGCTACTTCTTTTAACGAATATATGCATAGATCAGTGCCATGCTTACTTTTAAAGCCGAATTGATTATCCGTAGTTGTTAAATATTCTTTAATCCTATCCATGAGGATTTGTTCAAATATTTTAGAGAGGACACTTGCCAAAGCAATTGGCCTATAGTTTTCTGTCCCAGTTATTTTACCCGTTTTATCTTTAATAACAGGCACTAGTAAGACTGTTATCATGGAATCAGGTAACACTCCATGAAATAAAAAGCCTGTAAAACACAAAGCAAGTAACACTGAGATCCTAGAGCTAGCGTGTTTCAAATGTTCAGCTGTTATTCGGTCTGGGCCACCAGCTTTATTATCGGCCAGTTTCTCGATTGCGTACTTAACTTCATCAGGTGTAATAATCATACCTAGATCATTTGATACATGACCAACTTTAAATTCCTTCCTCTCAACACAATTAAAAAGACCTTCATAATATTTTCTCCACAAGTTGACAATATCCTCAGCCCCAACAGCCCCATCCATGCTATTCGGCATAGGTATTTTCCTGTTATTGATAGCCTTAACTTCTTTCCAAAATTCGTAAACATTATTTTGCTGAAGGTTCTTGGCCATTGAGTTTGCTCTCATGGACAGCTCGTTCCTTTTTTCCTATATATATTATACATTTGTAATAATATTTCACAATATAAATATCCCCATTGTCCCGTCTGTTTTGGGATTGAGTTTTGTTTATTTGTGTTCTTGTAAGTCCTTTGTCTTTGTTCATCGGTTGTCATGGTTTTTGATTTGCCCCCATGTGTTGCACCTGTGTCTTGTTAATTACATCGTCTAGTCCCTAGTGTGTCTCTGGCTGCGCCAGAAATCGCATACTCCCTAAAGTAGGTACTTATTTTGAATAAGTATTTACTTCAGGACCACTAAAAAGTATTTTCTATATAGTATGAATGTGTATTGTATGAATGTAATCCGAACGTACAACATTCGCCATGTTGTCACTATCAGCGTCAGTTACGTCACTTTACTGCCACAAATTCTCCCGTGGCCTCATGGGATAGTAAAGTGTCCATCGTATGCACACTTCAGAATCTCACCGGAAGAAGTAGGTCATCCGGGTACTTTTTTCCTCTTTTATGAGTACTGTGAATTCGGACTTTTTTTTTTTGTCACATACTGTTTTTCACCTACTTTTTTTAGCAGGGGAGTATGCGAGTTTGAATGCAGCCTCTGTGTATGTATAGCCCTCTGTATTCAGTCTTTGTCAGATCTCGTCAATGAAAAGTGGTTGTTCTGTTTGCCGTGTTTTTGTTTGTTTGTTTTGAGAAGTGTGCACCTGAGTTTGTTTTCACTAAAAGAACTGCTTGTGAATATATTCAGCCTTTTAATTTTCCATTTTTGTTCAACCCCTTGCAGACAATAACAGTTTTAAATGTATTTTCTATCAAATAAATATAGCCTTGAGCATAAAATTCTTCAAAAACATTTTTTTAAATCTTAACATCCCCAAACTTTTGAGCAGTATTGTATATTACATATAATATATAATCAAGGCTATGAAACTGGGAAATTAAACATTTCTGAAGCACTTTTAGTTAACTTACATTAACAGTGTTCAGACAAAGATTGCCAGTAGGAGCTTAAAGGGATAGTTCTCCAAAAAATGAAAATTCTCTCATCATTTACTTTCTTCAGATAAACACAAACAAATATTTTTCGGAAAATAATCAAGCTCTGTGAGTCCATATAATGGAAGTGAAATGGGTGAATAGGGTGAAAACCACACACAACGATCATGATGGTAATCCATACAACCTGAGTGTGTAGTGAAACTCGCGTGAGAAGTGACAGTCCTCTGTGTTTACGCATTACTTCTCACGTGAACTTTACAACGCACTTACATCATGTGTCACAATGTCCCTCTGTACTAGAATGCCTGTATGACAGTAGACAGAAAGGAATGATTTATAGTTTAAAAAAGTTTTTAAAATGTAGTATTTTTCTTACACACCCCTATTGTTTCACTTCAGACGACATTGATTCATCAACTGAGGTCATATGGATTACCATTACGATCCCTGTATTATTTCCTAAAAATCTATCTGAAGAAAGAAAGTCATAAACATCGGCGATGGCATGAGTGTGAGTAAATGATGAGAGAAATAACAATAATTAATTTATTGTAATATTTATATACCGCTTCTCTTGGCACTCAGCGCTTTACATGGAGGGGCTTTACATTTACGCTTTACATACACCCCTACTCCTTTTCAAAGGACATCCTGGAATTTTCAATGACCACAGAGAGTCTGGACTTCGGTTTAATGTCTCATTTGAAGGACTGTGTTTGTAACAGTATAACGTCCCATCACTATACAGGGGCGTTAGGACCCACACAGACCCGAGAGTGAGCACCCCGTTCTGGCCACACTAACACCTCATCCAACAGTTAACCAATCATTTTCCCAGGAGGTTTCCCATCCAGGTACTGACCAGGTTCAACCCTGCTTAGCTTCAGTGAGCAACAAGTCTTGGGTTACAGGGTGATTTTCATTTTTGGGTGAAGAATCCCTTTAAATGTGTCGCACAACAATAATGATAGCATAACATGGAGAAAGCAGGAAGTGCAGATGTTTGTTTGAGTGTGTGAATACCTTAAAGATCTTGATTGGATCTTCACAGTTTCTTTGTTGGGCAACATCACACAGGCGAGCTGTGATGTCAATACGTCTGCAGATGTCCATGTCCACTTTCATGGCCTTTTCCTGGATCTTACTGTCCAGCTCCGACAGGTTCTGTATGTACATGTATGGCATTTGAAGAAAGAATAATTTAATGATTAATGACTCATTTCTATAAAGTACTATTTTTAGTATTCACGGCACTGTAGTTTAAGATGATGTGAAACTGAAACTGCAGTGGTATGTCTATTTTGGCACGCAATGAGGAAAACGGTGATGTTTGTGTTTCTTGGACATTAGGCTAACAGCTAATGTGTGTATTGAACTCATTCTCAAAAACGAAGCTATTTTTAACACTTTGAACTGTGTGATAAATCTTTTCTGGGAAGAGTGTTTGATACAAAGTAGGGTATTGTTTGATTTTCAGATAAAACACATCAGAAGATTAAAAACAAAAACAAAGTGCTAATTGTAGAAAGTGGGAAAATGTGTTTGTGTGTGAGCGTTTATGAGAAAAGCACAAAGCTCATATATTTTCCTTAAGTATTTCTACAGAAAATAAGATGACTGTGGAGTGCTGTGAATGTAGTAGCTGCTATGAATACACATACTGTTCTTGAGCTCGCCAGAAACAAACCTCTGAGTGTGTGTGACTTGCTGATTTAAACTCTACAGGAGCAAAGTAATGAAATCAAATGGCTGCTATAAAACAGCTTAGACCAACATGAATTCCTGTTCTGGTCCAGGCCGGTTTGTGCTGCTCTGGAACTGGTCAACCAATGTATTCTTGATAATTCACTGCCCACTGTCCAGAACCCACTCACTGTTATTGCATTGAAAAAACAACTTTAGCATTCTTTAAAATAGAGTGGTGAAGGGATGGCATATTTTTTGTAGGCCAAAGCCCGTAAATGAGTTAGCCCTATCAGAGTTTTAGCACTTCTGGTTCATTCGTCCCAAAGTCAATGTTTTTTAAATGTCTTTTGGGTTAAATGTTTGAAATAAGGTCTGTGGTGAACACAAGCTCAAAATATTTTCACGTTTTATTCTACAATATAAAGTACATCAGTAATACCCTCTTGTGATTTTAAACGCCATCAGCTGAACAGTAAGCTACTCACTAGTTTGCTTTCACAATCACATTCTTGCAAACTATTATAACTCAAGCTTTCCGGGGAAAATGTTTTTAAACAAAGGCTGAAAGAGTTGTCGGAAGCCTAGGGTGTTCACACTAGTTCGGTTCGCTTGGTCCGTACCAAAAAAAAAAACAATTAGTCCTGGTCTGCTTAGCCTTCACATTGGCATTTTAACACCGAACCTAAAGATACCGAACCTAGGCATAGAGATACATTCACAACCTGATTGGTCATCTTTTATATATTTTGTGACGGAACTTACCGAGCACCCAAAACTATGCTGTGTGCTGGGCTAAATGCTCTTGTTGTATGTGCGTATCCTGCATATGATGGTATTTTGACCATCTGAGAACTCGTGAAGAGCTTATAAAACGTGTAAAGGAGTCAAAACAGCGGCAAGAATCCCTCCATCACATACACAAACGAAGATCTGCTGCAAGGAGAGGCAGTTCTGATGCTTGTACCGAACTGCGATGGAAAACAGGTTTTCTTGAGCATTCTGTCCTTTTTAAGCCCCGTTCACACTACACGCGACTTTGTCGCTGCAAGTCGCCAGCCGCTGGCGATGAGGTCGCTAGTGGGCGTTCCCACTACTGGTTGACTAGTATGACATCCAAAAGACAGCGAATCAGCTTTCTTGCCATCCATCACTGCAGGCCCAGGGGCTGAGGAGAAGGATCACGTGCGCTCCACTCCTATTGGTTGTCGCTCGCGAAAATCGCTCTTCATTTGCATAAAGTTAAAAATTTCTCAACTTTGTCGCGTCGCTAGACACGCCCCATCTAGTCGCCAACGGTCGCTGTCGCGCGTGTCGCCGGAAGTCGCCCGCTCACCATTGAAATGAATGGTATCGCGTCGCTTGGTCGCGTGTAGTGTGAACGGGGCTTTAGAGTCGCATCTTGTGAGATCATGTGCCGTTTTTGGTTCGTTTACATGTCTTTGGTCTGTGTTGCATTCATATTTCATTCGAACCACACCAGAGTTCGTTTGGAAGCGGACAAAGACCATTCTTTACAGGGGTCTTGGTCCACTTGTTTGGTGCGCACCAGGGTTGTGATGGCAGCGTTCACACTTATTAAAATGAACCACACTAACAGAGCAATTGCACCAGGGTTCGTTTTAATCGAACCAAACCTGCTTGAAATCGAGAGACTGTGGTGTAGATTGTTTATAGCCTACGTTTAGCTTTTGACTTCTGCCGATTGTGTTTACGCTTCAAAAATGAAACATTTATTTGTGAGGATTATCACAATGAACAAAACGTTTAAAACTCATAAGCTTTTGTTAGTCACAGAGCTTATTTTCTGGAATCCAAAAGCCAAATTGGGTCCAATTGGGTTTTTGTCGAGGGAACCAGGGTAATCTAACAAACAAAGGCCTACAAAAATATGTCATAACTGCAGCACTCTATAGAGTAATTATTACTGAAATAATATAATTTAAAAGCATATAATTAAGTGCAAACTGAATGCAATGTTTTCAGACAATTATTTGGTTGTTAACAGCAATTAAATGAAAAGATACATGAAATATATTGAATTTATATTAAATTCAATTAGCTGTAATTTAGAGTGTTTCTTTGACCCACTTACTGACTGCAAGTAGGACTTAAGTACATATTTGTATGTAATTTCATAATTACTTCTATTGTCTTCACAATATGGTTAAAGTGTATGAATGAACTGCCGAATGTACTGACAAGAATTTATGGTAAATTAAAATATACTTTAATGCCACACATTTATAATAATTAAGTTGCAATTTAGTACATTTAAAGTACATTTACTTTTATTCATTAATTTTATATTAGATGCAAGTATTTTTTTAAATATATACTTTAAGACTTTTAAGTACACTAAAACTACACATTCAATACGCAATTTTTGTATTGTGTTGTATTGAGCACAATTTTTCACATATGGGAGTTTGACAAGAGGTTTGGAATGACATGAGGGTGAGGAAATCATATAATTTTCATTTTGGGTGATCATTTCCTGTCCTGTCCAGTGTGTTTGAGGTATGTATTTGTTGTTTGAGTGTACTGAGAGTGTGTTTTGTTTCTCACATTGCTCATGAGTCCTTTAAAGAGCACGAGTTCAGCTTTCAGCTGTTGCACCTTGAGGCCCAGCTCATCCTGACATTCTTCACTCTCCTGTAGGTCCTACACACATAGACAAATTGCATATCTATTATTATTAATAATAAACAATACATTTTTCTGTACAAATAACTCACTTTCTTGGCCAAAGACATCACAATTTTACTCATATACTTCCAAAAACACAACCTAACTTCATATCTAACAGAATGACAATACTGACCCACATAGACAACGTACCCCAATAATTACATACTGAACATTGTAAACCATTATTTAGAAACTGTAACTTATAATTAAGTTACTATAGAAGAGCACAGTAATATTGACAGTTAGTAATTTAGACAGGACAGTAATTTATTTTATATATTAAAATCTGGGTTCAAAAATTAAGTTAAGAATAATCAATGTAGTTCTAATGCTGGTCCAAGACTAGGTTTAACCTAATCAATTGAAACTAAGAATTAACACTAGATTTCATATATTAAAGTAACAGAGATAAAAAGAGAACTTTTCAATTAAACAATAATTGCTATCATCAAGTATAATTCTGCATATGTACTGTAGAATTTTTATATAACCTATTAGTAAAGTAAAACTGCTTCTAAACTGCATCCAAGTAAAACATCTAAACACTGACTATTTCAATGTTTAAAAGCTTCTCCTCAATCCAAGTTCATCCAAATTATACTTTATCCCAAAGGTAAAACATGCCAAAAACCTCAAACCGAAGACAACATCATTTTCTTGATCTGTTTACTCAGTCTCCAGTGATGTACTGTACACTACTGTTCAAAAGTAAGATTTTTTGAAAGAAATTAATACTTTTATTCAAGCAATGATGCATTAAACTGATTAAAAGTCATTTAAAATGTAACATTTAAAATTTTTAATAAATTATTTTCTTTTAAACATTAACGTATTCTGGGGGGGGGGGGGGGGGGGGTCATGCTTTCCACAAAAATAGCACAACTGTTTTCTACATTGATAATAAGAAATGTTTTTGATATGCATAAATCAGCATATTATAATGATGACCGCTTTGCACAGGAATAAATTGTATTTTAAAATCTAATTGATAAAAAATCTAATCTTATAATATTTCATGATATTACTGTATTACGGTTTATTGTACTCTTGAGCAAATAAATGCAGCCTTGGTGACTGGTGAGCATTAGAGACTTTCAAAAACATTAAAAAAATCTTATCAACCACAAAGTTTTGAATGGTAATTTACTTTAACATTATTCTAGTGAAATAAATAAAACAGGGATTAAATTAAAAAGTTGTCAGGACATTAAGATTCCAATGGAAGTTAAATGTGGTAGACGCAATTAATATCCATTAACAACCAGACAGCGTGGAATCCACATGTAGGGCCTACCAGATGTGGCCCGGATCTGGGCCGACACTAGCATGTGGTAGAGAAGTAAAGAGGTTTGGCTTGAAAGTGTGTTCCTCACCTCCTGTAGGTCATTCATTCTCTGTTCCATGTCCATTCTCATGGTGTATTCCTCTTCCCATCTGAGAGGAGAAAACAAGAACATCAGGACCAACAGCAGAGCATGACCCAACAACAGGAACTTTTGAATATATCACATCAAGTAAAATAAAAAAAAAGAGGTCCATACGACTCATGCAATATATTTAAAGCCGCAGATTAGGGGCTAGATTTACTAAACAAGGCGTGATCAACTGACGACGCGCAAATTAAAGAACACAGATGCAGCCGGATCATTTCCATAATGATTATAATAAAAATTAGCGTAGGGTCGTAAACAAACAGAGCCGCTGATAATCAGGTGCGAGTGATCTACTAGCAACACAGGCGCAAAATGGGTTTAGACATGCTTAACAGTCGTTAAATAATGGCGCAAATCCCAGTAAATTGTAGCCTGACTTCGTCATACTCATATTCTAGTCAGAATGTGAGTCTGATACTGCTCCATAGGGCTTTGATTATGAGGCGTGCAGATCATCTGTCCATCATCGTATAAAGCCCGCCCTGGCAATTTGATTGGCCCGACTAATTCTGAACTGATCATAATTACTCCTCAATGGATCGAGTCCAGACCGAACTTCCCGACCAAAAAATGTTGGGGGCGGGGTTCGGGCTGGCATCCAGGCTAAGTAAATTGACTAGCACAAAATCTCCTCCCATAAATTTTGCATCTGAAAGGGAAACTCCTACAAATGCATACAGTATGTACTAAGTTCAGACGCAAAAATAACCCTGTCCCCACCTTTTCAGTGCAAATTTTTCACTGCGTGTTTTTAATAAATCCTGACAGTAGTTTTTTAATGCCAAAAGAGAGCGCTGGAGCAAGCTGTTAGTAATTCTGGCCCAAGATCGGCTATAATTTTAGCCATGGTTTACTGAAAATCTTTCTACCGTAGCTCTCTCTAGTGCATTCTAAAGAAGTGAAATCAAATCTTTAAGTGAATCAGGTGATCTGGTTCACAAAACTGGTCTAAATGATTAGTTTACAATCTGACAGACTCAATGAATCAGTATGTTTCGCACACAAAACTATCACATAACTTGAAAAGACTTAGAATATAGCGCACAAGTCATATGGATAACTTTTATGGTGCTTTTACATCCTTTTTGGAGCATAAAAACTCCAGCCTACATTCTTTTGTAATTGTATGGAGAAACGCAACCAATACATTCTTCAAAATTTCTCCTTTCATGTTCCACAAATGAGGAGCTAAAATGGCACAAGGGTGAGTAAAAGTTGGCAAAAGTTTCATTTTTGTGTAAACATCTGTTTATGCTATATAAAATCCAATAAAGCAATGCGAGACAATTTAATATTGCTCTTGTAAAGCAGGAAAAACATGTATTCCCGTTACAGAAGGTACATTTGTGTGTGTGATCTTCATACGTAAGTGTTTTTGTTTCTGTGAGTATGCTAGCTTATCCATTCAGTCCTTTTAAATGATCCATCAGCCCAGTCAGCTCTACGGTAATTTACTGTGTGGCTGTTCAACAGTAATATTGTCCAGTGCAGTAGTATAGTGTAATGAGGTGGAACCCAACAAGCCCTGTCCTTATGTAAGAGCTACTTAACATTCAAAACATTGCAGCAGCCTTTACATTTATTAAACATCCTCACTGGACTGCAAGGTTAGTTTGAGCCCGTGCATTACTGCCAATTCAAGGTGCAAACATACAATTATTACTGAGGAGAGTGACAGATAACGCGAGCGACGTGAGGAGAGAGGGTGGAGAGAGAGAACGAGAGAGATTGCTTCTCTGCAGCCTGAGACCTTGTGTGTGTACTGCAATGCAGATATAACGTAGATCACTGCTGCTGGATGCCATGGCTGTTATAGAGCGGCCTAAATGAGACAAATGATATAAATGGCATGTGAGCTGAGCTTCAGATATTTGAATGTGAATTTAATATGCTTTTTATTGGACCAATAAGTTTCCAAAAGAACACATCATTTTTTTTTCTATCCTTCTACATTACCGTTCATTAGTTTAGGGTCTGTTAGATGTTTTAATGTTTTTGAAGAAGTCCCTTTTCTCAGCATTTCCCATGATATAAAAGCTCAATTTTCAACATCATTACTCCAGTCTTATTCTAATGCTGATTTGGTGCTCAAGAAGAAATGTTTCTTATTATTTTCAATGCTGAAAACAATTGTGCTGCTTAATATTTTTGTGGAAACTGTAATATATTTTTTTAGGATTATTTGATTAATAGAGATTTAGAACAGCGATGAAATAGATTTTTTTTTTGTAATATTTGTCTTTACTGTAACTTTTGAATGAAAATAATGATTTATTTATTTCAATTTCTTTTAAAAAATCTTAACCCAAACTTTTGAACTATAGTGTCACATATAATGCATTAAGAGAAAAATATTTTGTTTCATGTAATAGTGTTATTTTTGTGAATCGACTCAAAATTCAATTATTCATTTGCATCACACATCACTCAAACATTTTCGTTAAAATATATGTTAGTAAATGTTGATGTTTATGACTGTGTTTTGTTATAATTATGGATATGAATTGTGTGCTTTCAACTGTTCTGACCGCTTTTGGTACGAATGGGAATGCTGACTGTGAGCCAGGCCCCATTACTCAACATCACTGCATGACCTCCTTGATGCTCTTGGGTCTAAATAGAAGCAAATCCCTGCATCCTTGTTTCAACATCTAGTGCAAATCCTGTCACGTTACGCTAAATAGAACCCAAGCGCAGACAGTAATTTTACAAAACACGGTTTATTACAAACGGAAAACAAAGACCCACGATGGGGCAAACAAACAGTAACTCAGACAATAACTAGACTTGACCACAAATAGGAACTGGAACTTTCACAGACAGAGCACAATACTCACAGAACCGACTGTTAACAAGACGAACCAGCACTGAGGAACAAACACCGGGAGCTTACATAGAACACATCACAAAAGGTACAGGTGACACTGATGAACATCAATACTAACGAGGGAACAAGGGGCGTGGTAAGGACACATGATCACAATCACAGGTGACACTGATACAACATTAACAAGGAAACCAGGTAAAACACAAGACAATGCCAACACATAGCACAAAACAACACTAGCCATGTGTTTGCACACAAAACAAGAGACAAATACATGACATAACCTCCTCCTTACGGAGCGGCTACCAGACGCTCCACATGGGACATAACCGACTGTAAACTAGACATAAACCAACAAAACATAACCATTAACAGTGGCAAACACGAAAACATAACAGTAGGATCGGGATGACACAATAAAAATAACACATGAGGGAGGGGGGGTGGGGGAACAAAAGAGTTCGTAGGTGGAGGTCCAGGGTGGGTGGGTGGAACAAAAGTCCTAAATTCACTGGACATGGGCACTGATTGAGGACACGAAAACCGGGCAGTTCTGGGTGGAGACACATGAGGTACAGTCTTGGGGGGGACAGGTCGGGGCACAACAGGAACAGGGGTAATCGGGGAAACAACAGATGTTGTGGCAGCAAGCAGAGGAGACGATACAGAACCCAAAACTGGGGGCGTTGCAACTCGCAACGGACCTGGGACAGGGGGTGCCACAGACGACTCAGCGTGGGCAGTAGTAGACTCCACAGCTGGGACAGGGCTGGACCTGGTCACTCTCCCATCTACCACAGCGTGGACAGAACTAGACTCCACAGCTGGGACAGGGCTGGACTTGGTCACTCTCCCATCTGCCTTAGCGTGGACCAGACTGTCAGAAGCAACCTGAAGAATCGGCACGGAGCCGGGAAGGGATTAAGACGGCAAACCCGACGATCTCTTCCTCCTCCTCTTTGACCGCGGTGCAGAAGCCATAGCCGGATCTAGGATCGGTACCGTGATCCCCGCAGCCAAGGCTGAAGGACCCCCCGCCAACGTCGAAGCAGCGAGAACGTGGGCGCCAAGCGTTGTCGTGGCTAGGACGCGACTCTCCGGGATCGCTGGTAATGCAGAAGCTGACAACGTCATTGTGGGGTCCTGCCACTCCTTTCGACGCACATGGTCCACTACCTCTCGAAATGGGCGTCGGATCAGCCCCTGCCGTTCAGCCAGCGGAGGAGGTACATTGAGCCCCGCGATGAAATAGGAGTTTAGGAGGACCTCCGGCGTAAAATTTCTCTTCTCCTCTAGGCCCTGGGCATATCTCTCCAGGGATCTCTCTCCCTGGGGAGGAAACGGAATCTTGCCCCTCCTCATGTCCTCGATGGTCGACTGCCACCATCGCTCCTGGTCACCCAACTGGCTACTGGCGGAACAAGACATTGTCGACTGTCTGCTGGGTTCAAATGGGCTGGTTCGTTCTGTCACGTTACGCTAAATAGAACCCAAGCGCAGACAGTAATTTTACAAAACACGGTTTATTACAAACGGAAAACAAAGACCCACGATGGGGCAAACAAACAGTAACTCAGACAATAACTAGACTTGACCACAAATAGGAACTGGAACTTTCACAGACAGAGCACAATACTCACAGAACCGACTGTTAACAAGACGAACCAGCACTGAGGAACAAACACCGGGAGCTTACATAGAACACATCACAAAAGGTACAGGTGACACTGATGAACATCAATACTAACGAGGGAACAAGGGGCGTGGTAAGGACACATGATCACAATCACAGGTGACACTGATACAACATTAACAAGGAAACCAGGTAAAACACAAGACAATGCCAACACATAGCACAAAACAACCGGCCATGTGTTTGCACACAAAACAAGAGACAAATACATGACAAATCCGTCCCTGAAGAGAGGAAGCTGTTATTGCAGCAAAGAGAGGGATTAATGGTTTTGCCAATCTTTTGAAATTAAATGTTTAAGAAGACAAAAAGAGCATCAGGGAGGTCAGGCACTGATGTTGAGTGATGGGACCTGGTTTGCAGTTCCAAATCATCCCAAAGGTGTTCAATTAGGATTAGGGTTGGGAATCCAAAATCGATTCCAATTGTGGAATCAAATACTTGAGGTCAGGAATCGGATACTTGTTATAAAATTATAATT